GAGAGAGAGAGAGAGAGAGAGAGAGAGAGAGAGAGAGAGAGAGAGAAGGGCGAAACTATTTTAGGAGTTTGACTAAAAATATTTCAGGAAAAAAAAGGAAATTCTAGGAAGGAGTGTACAAAGTTCATTGTGAGTTTATAAGTCACTGACAATACTCTAAAGTTGTAAAAGATAAAAACTGTATGTGATGAGAACTAACAAGAAAACTTTTGTCTCTGCACTTAAAGAAGTAAGAACGTGTAAAGTTTTGCCTTTGTTCTCTCGTAGGCTCTGTCTCCTCACTCAATCAGTATTTCCTCATCTCTCCATCTCTCTAAGGGAGGAAGGTCTCAGAGTTTCTCAGGAATGTTGACTTCTATGTGCTTTGGTCCCTTGGGGGACGTTGGTAGGGGTCTTGACCCTTCTCCTCCTGTATCCCTGGAGCCTATCAGCTAACTAAGTTAGCATGAGATAACTCTCTCCTCCTGGCTCCATATTGTTGCCTCTTACCCTCCTCTCCCTTTTTTGTTTCCTTCACCCTGGGCCAATATGAGGCAGGAGCTTTATTGGAAGCAATGAGAAATCCATCACTCGACTGTCTACTCTTGGCTTGTGGCAACATTTGTCTCCCAGGCTGTGTCCTCCTTAATCTGTGCCCAGACACTGATTAAATCTCATTTACTTATCAGTCACTGAGAGGTACAGCTGACTTCCTGTGTAAAAAGTTGGAACTTCCTGTTGTAACATTATCTTCGATCAAGTTTCCAATATGCATGACAGCACATCCAAGCTAGCAAAAAAAGTACATGTAGAGTAGTTTTGTAATGTCATAGAAATTACCTAGGAGTTCATTTCCTTGTTGTCCTGATGCCCAGAGCTCAGTGAGCCTCCTTTCTGCTCTGAGCTGGGTTTCTGTTTGGTTTTATGTCTTAAGCCTGGAGCTTGGAAAGCTTTTCACATGTGGTCACTGCTAAACAGGACAGTTACTTCTATTGTGCTTTTGGACTGCACTGGAAATTATAACATTGGCACTGCAGTACTGACCCGATCAATTATTTTGTTGCACTGGAGTTATTATAGAAGCTCAGATAAGCACATCTGTAACAGATATTAAAATCACTGCTGACTTTAATATTAGTCTTATATTTTAGGCTACAACATTCTTGCTGTCATAGGCATTTCTTTTTGCAGGGTTTTGCTTCTACAGTGTGGGTATGCTTATCATATCAAAAACACAATGGGCGGTGTGTACCAGTAACTGCCTCAGAGGTTAAATATGAACCAATAAATNGGATTAAGCTTGAAAATCCATATATTGGTTTTTAGGACAATAAAGAAAGCATTCCTTCATTAACTGTTTTAAAATAGTAATACAATTGAAATTAGAATAACGTTTTTTTTAAGTACAGCTCTAACATTTATTACTCGCCTCTTAGAACTTACAGAGTCTTACAACTTACAAAACTTTTTCACGTACATATACACATTTCAATTGAAAAAAAAACTATGAAAAATAATRTCTTGCTCATGGACAATTTGACATTTGGATCAATCTGACAAACTCCTGGCTGACAGATCTCCTGTTCCTGCTAAAAGTTGATTGCTTTAAAATTAGCGAAGAAAGTTACTTTTATATTCTAAACAAATGTTTTTAAAGGAAAATTCAGATAGCGTTTATCTGATTTTTAAAAAGCATTCCCTCTTTTGCACAACGCGCCATTGAAAAAACAATGACAAGACAACAAATGCTGTGAGTGAATTATTGGTTTATTTTGTTGAKATGGAGATGATACATTTCTAAAACAGACAATGTTCTAGGCAGGCTTCTATTTAAAGAAAAAACTAAATCAAAATGCCTAAACAGAAAACAGCCACTGGCCTCTAAAGCTGAACGACTGACCCACGGTGTGACCTTTTCATGTCAAGCAGACAATTTTTATCAGAACCATGAGCTGAAGATGATTGTGATCTGCCTCCTGTTTGTTGTGTGTTTTCTCAGGCCTTACTTATTTCCCTGTGAGGTCAGCAACCCTGCAATTTTCTCCCACACACTGGTTAGTGCTGCCTGGCTCTAACACTGGTGCACCTCATGTTCTCTTCACTCGTTGACATTGCCTGGGGTGCTGTTTGAACTTAGGGACACACTCTGTCCCTCAGTGGGAGAACTTGGAACCTGGCGGAAATGGGTCCTTTCCCAAAGTTTGGATGGAGAGTGCTGGAGTAAACATGTGAACTGACTTTAAAAATATGGAAACATTGAGAATACCAAAAGATAAAGGAAATTCTCTGTGAAAAAGATAACGGGTTTGTCCAAACGTGGTATTTTTATTTTTTTGTAGCTTGGGGCTTAAATAATGTCAAAGGTGGAATGCAGACTTTTAAATATTTGGTAGAAATGAACTTTTAACCCAAAATCTGGATTTGGTTACTCTGTTGCACTTTTTTCCCCCTCCATCTTATTTTGGAAGAGTGCATTATCTGCTAGCATGCACTTGTTTTACAAGGCTAAACACAAAACAGACTAATATTAGTTATTTACAATTTCCATTCTCTAACTCTAAAACAAATTAAACGGACAAGCCCATGCCTTGTTTAAAATGAACCACGCAATTTTCCTCCCCCGCCCCCTCACCCAAGCCATTTATTGCTTGTCTTTTAAATGAACTAGCTGCCTGCAGACGATATTACTCATAAGTCCTGTTACTGCCAAGTCCTGGTATGAGGGCCATTAAGGTGCTTAAACTCGGCCATTCATATTTGTTCTGGATTGCCTTTCTCCATTTTAAATATCCCCCAGAAATTTTCAATGAAATATGGCCACAGCAATTTTCTGAGAGTGCACTGCATCGTGGCTTGCTGTCCAACAATGCCAGGCATCATTCAACACCCTACATATTATACAGCCACCTTGCATTTAACGGCACCATTTTTTTCCAACTATTGAATTCGCTGAAACTGAAATTTATGCAAACTTGAACTTTAGCCAACCTGCAAAACGAACCCCTCAAATCCTAAAGAAGCACATGGTTTTGTCTGAAAATTATCTGCCATATAAATGATATTTATTATGTAACTTCAATGCATTTATTATTTACCAGTGTATAATCTCATTGCATGCAAAATGGTAAAACACTAAATTAAAGTTGAACTAAGCATAGGATTGCTAAGTTTTACATTACATTTTATTTAAATTATAAGTATTTAACATGCCTCACRATCATATAGACTTTTTTAAACTTGTTTTTCTAAGAGTTGAATAATTTTCACGCTAATTGCATCTGCAGTGCAGCTAAAAGGGACTTTTTTTTTTACTTGTGAGCTGAGCCAAATGTTTCAAATCCCAGAAAAGAGCCTTAATTACYATCACCAGCAAGTTGAGTTTGTGAATTTAATTTTTGCAGTAGAAGTGTTCCAAGATATTTCAGTAGATTAAAACTGCATTTAGAAYACATTTAAAAGGAAGCATGTGGGAAAGATCAGAACATTGCAAGTTTTCACTCTAATCAGTCAACCAGGTGATTTCACTCAACAATTCCCTTCATCTGATTGGATGACGGCTAAATCAGCTGTTGGCAGCATAAATGCAGCATTCTTTTGTAAATGAAGGTTTTATCACTGCTTTTCCTCCATGAGTTATTTTAGCACAACGGCTATCATCCAAAAACATGTTCCTAAGACTAACTTTTATTTGAAAAAAATATATGTATCTTTCTGAACTGGAGCTAGCTTTTTCTGTTTGGTGTTCCTTGAGAAGAATTGTGCTAAACTGGCTTTTGTATGTGTTTGTGCAGACAGGCCCCATGGGTGTACTTCACCCTAAAGACAACAAGGCCAGGGAGCCATCCAAGTGACTGGAGCTAAATAAGACCCCCGTGACCTGAGGAGTCACACGGCTGAAAGCAAAAGTAACAGTGTGGATGACTTGTTGCTAAGAAAAATGAGCTGCCGATTGAGACAAATGATTTTCCCAAATCTAGAAGTGCTGTGAACAGTTTTAAAAATAAAATGCAATGGAAAAATGCCTACAGAATTGCCTGAAATGTACAGTATATTATTTGCATCATTTCAAAATGTTGGTTAGGTAGTTTAGTGTGAATTATACAGTTCATTAATTAAGGTTAAAAAAAGACAGAACAAATAACTATCATGAATTATTTTTTGTTCAAACACAACATGGGTATTATTATTTGCACAATTCTTTTACATTTAGCAAATTCTTTCATTCGAGGCTTTAAATTTACATTTCAACATAAATATTTCTGTACAATTTGCAATGAGGTTTTAAAAAAACAAATATCTCAAAGAAAAAGCAGTTGTATTCTAATGTATTTATTTTATGTTGACAGGAAGCTTTCATGATTATCATCTGCCTTATGGTGTGCACGTTATTTAAAATGATTCACATCTAAAATGCAGGTAAATATCCAAGATTTCCAGCAGCTGTGTGTGTCCTTTGGCTTTTTCCACAGAAAAAAAATAAAATAAAATAAAATAAACTGTTAAAAGGATTCAAATTTCATTTTTACTTTCAGTTTTCATTATGGTGGTTTGGAGGAGAGGTTAGAATGTATATGAAATCTGACTTGGTTTTTCTGAAAAAAAAAAACATGATAAAACACAACAAGAAAAACTTACTATCAAAATACTACCGAGTTACAGTGGAAGGACAAAATCATTGTTTACTTTAACCTTGTGTGGTGAGGATTTTTGGCTTTTAAATTATTTTCATTTGTCCATTTTTTGTGGTCTTGTATGATCCATTTTTTAAAAGTCTTAAGCTACAACTGAAATAGATTTTGCCTCCTATACATGTTCTTTTTTCTTCTTTTTTTTCATGCAAGTTGTTGTAAATTTTGGTCACTTTTAAATCTTTCAACTGAATGCAGTTTTGGCAAAGTTCAACGCTTCATCAAGGTACATTTTACTTTCCAGAAAAAGGACAAAGGTTCAAGCCTCTACCAATAAAATCCCATAGTGATCATGTGTGAAAGGTACATACAGTATTTCCTCTCTGCTCGGTGACTTAGCGGAGCAGTGTTAAGTGTGGTTGTGGTTTCAGCTACACACGTCTGTCACTCAGGGATTTTGGCTTTAATTACTAACCCAGGCTTGCTCCATAAGGCACAGAGTGTTCTCACGTGGTGGTAGTGGTTCTCTTGGGGGAACCTCTGCTAAAGTGAGTTCATATGAAAGAAACAGGGCTCCTTGTAATGCACAATATGTAAAGAGCACTGAGAGTACATTATGACATCTTTTTTCTTAATCTAAATCTTTCAATACCTTCTAAGTTTGCAAAAATGAACATGAGTAATCTGAGACAGTTTGGAACAATTTTGCATGCCTTTCACACACACACACACACACACACACACACACACACACACACACAC